CGGCCCGAAAGCCGAGACTGAGATGCTTGCCATGACCTGTACGAACAAGAAGAGCGTTCCATGAGTTGTTTGCATGTTGGCGGTGCCCCCGTGCTCACTCCGAGTAGCGAGGTGATGCCAGGCGTATATAGCCGCGCTAAATGATGGTCGCGATGTCGTTGCGGCTGTTGACGATGACGGGAGGTCGAACAATTGGCCAATGTTCGTACGGCGACTTGTCAGCAGAATAGACGTACTTTCACGAAGTAGGGAATCACCGTCACTGTGATTGAAGAAACTCGCCACGCGTACTTGACGAAATGTTGGCGCCGCTCCATCCACGGCTGTTATTGGCCCGAAAGCCGAGACTGAGATGCTTGCCATGACCTGTACGAACAAGAAGAGCGTTCCATGAGTTGTTTGCATGTTGGCGGTGCCCCCGTGCTCACCACGTGCTCCCGCAGCCGATCATTGAGGCATCGCCCCGTTTGCCCGACGTATCTCCTGCCACACGAGAGGGGAATGGAGTACACTACTCCCTCCACACAGTCTACGAATCGGTCCTGGTGTTTTTTGGTGCAACCCTGGTTTTCTTCAGTACAGGAGTTCACTTTTCTGCACAGCCCAGACAGCTTCTCCGGAGCCGAAAAAACCACATCAACACCAACCCTACGGCCAACTTTCTTAAGGTTGTGAGATATCTTATGCAGGTATGGTAAAACAGTTACTTTTTTGTTAACCCTACGAGCCTGCTGGGTAGTTTCCTCACGTCCTTTCGTAAGTAAGCTCTCAGCAACTGTCGTCAATAGGTAAGACGGATATCCCGCATGTCTGAGCCTTGCTGCTTGTGTGTCGAAGCTTTCTTTCACCCTGTGGGGGCAGGACCTGAACAGGGCATTTCTAAAACAGAGGTTAACAATTCCTCTTTTCACAAGTTTGGAATGCGCTGAGGAAAAAGGCAAGATGGGTTTCTTTGCTTTTGGCTCATATATCCAGCACACATGGCCATGACCAAGTTGCAGGCTCAGATCCAGAAACCTAATGGCCCCATGTACAGGTACTTCATGTGTCAGCACCAGCGGTTTCAGACACTCTTTGAACGTTGACAGGACAAACGACACAGCCGAATCTATTTCCTCATTTTCACAATCTAGGAGCACCAAATAGTCGTCTACGAATCTAAAAATTTTCCCCACCTTGGTTCCTTCCAGCTTGTCTGACAGGACTTTATCGTGGAACGCAAGAAATATATCGCTAAGTACTGGGGCTATGCATGACCCTATGCACACGCCATTTCTCTGAATAAAAACACCGTCATCTCAGATCGCGAACGTCGACTTGAGATAAAAAGATAAACGTTCTAGAAAGTGACTCACACTAAGTCCAGATTCATTCTGAAACGCCACGGTACTATGATTGTCAATACATTCTTCCACAGAAGCCAGCAGCTCTTTATGGGGAATCGAATAGTACAAATCTTTAATGTCAATTGAGCATGCCAACAAGCTTCGGTCTGGAGGGTCTTTAAAAAAATTTATTATCTGATAGGAGTTCTTCACCCGAAAGGGATCATCAATCATTAACACGCGGTTGACGAAACACACAAGCACACACAAAAAGGAGAAAAACGTTGTCATTGTCAATTTATGGATGAAAAGAAACGCAAAAATAACGTGTTTTTTCGAGATAACGTAAATCGGTAACGCGCTCCTTTATTTTTTGGACTAACGAGTAACGTGTTTTGTTACTTTCTTTCTGTAACGAATACAACACAGGTATCATGTGACAAATTTAGGTATACCGGTGGCAGTGCGAAATAGATATTAAAACGGCAAAGTGCGCAAAACGCCCAAAGAATGCCGCCCCCGCAGTTGTACCGGCCTCACCGACGGTCTTATTACGTTTATACACATGGCAAAGAGATAAACATTTCAATTGCAGTATCGCTCTAAAAACAATTTCGTTGTTTGGTCGCGGGAGACCTACTTACACACACACACACACACACACACACACACACACACACATATATATATATATATATATATATATATATATATATATAGTAGTTTTAAGTGCGATAAAAGACTTTGAGGATGTTGATGAAAATTATTACTAAAATTTGGAGATCCAAGTAGTTTAAAAAAGAAAGGTTTAAGGCTTAAACGCTTTTTCTTGAAACTACCCGGCTCTCCAAATTCTAGTAGTAATATTTAATATCATGAAGCAATAGGGGACGTTAAAAAAGGCCATCGATTTTCAAAGTCAATCCGCGCAACGAATTCGTCAATAATTGTTTACAGTTCCAACAGAAAATACAGACCCCGGTACGACGTAGGTGCCGCACAAAATGGGAAAACCCGGCGAGAAAAACCCGCTCGTTGGCAATCAGCATTCATAGAGATATGGCATTGTATCCATTGTCTATCTGCGTAGAGCAGTCATGTGCGATGCGACAAAGTTTGCACTCGTTACATTCTCTGACGAAACGTCTCGACGCTCTCGCACACGGGGTATGTGCCACTACGTGACTCAGGTATCTCACCTATTTAGGTTCTGCGCTCTCATCAATCAGGTAGCACAGAAGGAACAATTATTGGTTAGATCCCGGCGGCAGGTAACTTATCATAAAAGCGTTACACGCGCCGTTCTTTATCAATTAAAAGGGCCGCTCCACATTTAATGAAGCATTTTTCACGTGCTGCCGCTCAGATATTCATCGATAGGAATAAGTCGGATCTTTCACGTTTTATTGAGGCCAGTATTCGCCGTAACGCGTTGTAAATACCGACGTTAATTACTTTTTCGGTAAAGTAGTAACGTGCTTGCTACATTTTCAAAGTGGTAACGGATAACGTATTACGTTACTTATTTCGAGTAACGGTTGACGGAGTTACGCCACTAGTTAGATACTCTAAGGAGTTAACAAATTACACTCCTATGCTATTTGTTTCTATTCTTTTGTAAGATTAATATGACCATACTGAATCAGTCAATTAATAATAATGATTTTATTCGTTTCTGTATCTTCAACAGAAATATTCGAACCCGTCAAAGCCTTGAAGGCTTGAATAACGTGGCTCGGCAGTCAAATGAATTGTTGCCCTTATCCCACACACCTTCAATATCAGAACCACAAGAAAGATAATTATGTTGAGTTTCTAGACGGTGAAAACATGTCTCGAATAAGGGCGCTTGGGCATTCCTGTAAGGCCATAACATAAAATGTTTTCATTTGTAAATTTATCGGCAATAGTAAGGCGTTCCTTTTGTACATGTCCACCGCTCGTTTAAGCCCGTTCGGATGTCCGCCTCGCTGAAATACATTTTTTTCTGTCATTTTTTCTTACTGAAGTTTACGTGCCCCGAGTTGTTATGATTAGGTTGCACCGTTCCCGAGCTCCAGCACGATTCGCGCGCACATGCACAGTTGCCTCGGTGAATTTTTCGGGGGGCGAACCGTTTGCCTTAGAACGACTCGCTAAAACTCCTTATCAACGTACCAGTCGTAGCTGATTTCTTAAAAGGGAGAGAATGGTGAATCGCGACTTCCTCATAATTGCCCCGGAGCTAATAATATTCCGAAATAAGCCAATATGCGTGCCAAAGAGTGGATTTTAAGCCTTGCGTTTCAGACGCTGCCTGATACTCTAGGATGCTCTCTCAACATATATTTAAAAAAAGAAAACAAACGCTATTGTGAAAATAACATAATGAATTTGAATTCCATTTCTTGAATTTATAGTGGCGGAGTAAGGCAAAAAAAAAAAAAAGCTGCGGAGATAGCTTGACAGGTCCCTGCATCCTAGAAACCTGCTAGCTTTTAAGAGCATGAACGAATAAAACTTGGAAAAATATAAGCAAAACACCTTTGTCATTTGCTTGAATTTAAAAGTGCAGAAACAATAAGAAGGAAAACGAACAAGCAGGCTTCTTTTAATATATACTGTTAATCAACATTTGCCTCGCCTGACCACTTGGCGTGCATTTGGCTTGAATATTCTTTTTAATAAGTTTGGTGATTGTAGATGGGAAGGCAAAAAATATTAAAAGAACTTGGGTATGGGCTAGTTGGCCCACCATACTAACTAAAGTTTTAAAAAAAGCATGAACAAAACGAGGACACAGAAGAAACGAAGACAACAGGACAGGCGCTAACTCTCACATGATTATTACTTGAGCTCATCATCACACATATACACACAACCTCCTCTGCCCAACCTGCATCAACAACAAATCACCAGTTCTACAAACAGTTGTCCAGAAACGTCACTTTTTGTTCAGTAAATGGCATGGCGTGTCAACGCAATTGTCATCTGCCTTTTTGATAAAACTCATGAGAGGACACCCGATAGCTTTCTGTCCTGTTGTCTTCATTTTCTTTTGTGTCTTCGTTTCGTTCCCGCTTTTAAACATTTTCATGGGTGAAAAGTGTTTGCAATCCGTAATTTGCTCAGGCATGCGTCATTCGTCAATTGTCCCAACGCCGACGATATAAAGTGGGGCTTAGAACCCAGACTACCCAAATAAAAGAAATGATGTTTAATTAAGCTAGGTACTATTTTCGTATCGACGAATAAATCTGTGAACGAATTCAACAAACCGCGCGCATCGCCTTAAATCTAAAAAAAATGAGAAAAGTGACGATAATTCTACGCCCAGTTATAACTTCTAGTAAAACGGTGGTAGCACGCCATGTCCACACACCCCACAAAGACACTTGCCGGTAATTACATGCATAGTTTGAGGGCAGGAAACGATAAGAGTTTTCAGCTACCTCGCTTAGGTGTTTACCCCGCGGGAACACCAGACATGCTAGAATAGCCCCAACGCAGTATTGAGTGCTGATACCATGGGTATTTCTAGAATGATTGCTCGGTGCGCACAGTTGTTATATCATGTAAACGGTAGAAGATACCATGCAGGGTGTTCGCAATTGTTTTTATTTTGTCGTGGGTTGGGAAAGTACAGCCGCCTGACCAGGGCGGCTGTACTTATCTGCGTGTCCGAGATAAAATTTGTCAGCATTTTAGCATACGCCAGCATAAAAGCGTTCGTGTAGAACCCTTGAGGCATAAACGGCAAGAGCCGAGGTCACTTTGGTGAAGATTGATTCAAAATGAAGTTCGAGCTGCTCGCTTTGGTACTCCTATTTGGAGTTGCCGCATCTGCACGTAAGTTTTATCAAATGGAATTATTTATGAGAAATAATTAGCTCTTAAAAATGTCACAGAATCATATGCGTAGGTTTAGAAAGAGTTATATACGTAAAGACAGGGGACGGGACAACACATCTTTCATGTGTTTTTATCTTTTGGTGCTTTATGTTGAGGATTAGAATGTTATACTTCCGTGCAAGTTACAGTCTCGAAAAATGTAAAAGACCCATTTGACGATGCACATTAAGGCGTCTTTGCTGCTTTTGTTTTGACGAGGCCCACACTTCTTGGTGCGAGGAAATAAAAATAATGTTTGTTCTATTCATACTTAAAACCATAAAGTGACCCTGGAGAACGTGCGGTTAGCTCCGCCTCGGAAACTGCAAGGCGAATGTGTCTTCAATATTGTTTGAGGCTGCACAGCGTACATTGTGCCTTTTGAATACCTCAATCTACAAAGTAAGAGAAAGCTCGAAACTCCAGTTTTATTTGTGTCACAGAACTCCAAGTGCGTGTTTAGGTTAGGAATCAACTCACATTCAAAGCCAAATCAAGGCGAACCGCAACGACTCCTCAATAGTTTACCTGGCTGAACGTTAGAGCGCTAAGCGGTTATCCACTCTGAGCGCTGCCAACCTGCCGCACCAAATAACAGCGTTTAAAACTTTCGAGTTCCTGAGTTAAAATTACCGCAGTGGTTTTTGACAGTGTCCTTGAAGGTCTGGGTAATTGACCCTTTTCGGAAAGTGCGCGCCCTCTCGTGGCTTCAGCGCCAATTTTCCAAACCCAGTGTAGTTTGATCGCCTACTCTGAACATGTAATGGGCCGGAAGGCTGTGTCAGCGCTCCTCGAGATACCTGCCCGGCTCTTATCGTAAACGAGTGACTTTTCAGCATTCCGCGAAAACTGGGTATGAAAATTACGCTACTTATTAAAAAAAAAGAAAAGAAAAAAAAGGATAATGTTGCCTGGTAGGGTTTCGATAAGAGTATGATATAAATTTTGTGTGACAATCTTCATGCAATGCATCCTGATCCAGACTTGGGCCTAGGATTGCCTTTTATTGTTTGGCTTACTTGTCTTTTGATTTTTTGCGCGTTTTTATGTGTGTGAAGTTATATCAGCTGGCATAATTGATCATTTGTTTTGCCTACCAGCACAATGGCCCGGCTGGAGACCACGAACGATGTACGTGTGCATTCAAGGTCGGTGCCATCCGATGGTCTCCGGTATCGCGCAACCACGAAACAGTCCTTTCTTCCAGTCACTGGCCGCCTGTCGAGCGAGCTGCTTTGGTAGGTTTGAAGACGTGCTACTGCCGTTGATCCTTAAACTGTTCCTCGCTGTCCTTCTTTGTTTCCGCGTTGAGTACGCGCTATTTTAAAGGTTTCGACGGTTTTCACGGAAAACAAACCATGAAGCAGAAAAGCGTCGACGTGATGTGCCACGCTCCGTGGTTTCTTAACGCTAGGTTCTGTCAGTTGTATAGTAAGATAGAGCCGTGCGAAACCCTGGCTAAAAATCTTTCTTGCCACACACACTTGTCTACTCTCATTCTCTGGTCACGTGACAACGGGAACCTTCCTTGCACCTGCTTCTCGTGAACGATTTGTGAACAACAGGGAAATGGGGTGATGCTGGCGATGTAGGCACCAGCGGCTTTGTAGGCGCAGAGCGTGGCGCTTCCGAGAATCTTATAACGGTTCCACAGCCAATGAGATAAACGCCATGAGCCGACAGTCACTTGGAGAGGAAAATCACGAAACTAGAAGCGCCTCAAAGACGGGGACAGAAATCGAAACGACACCGAGCGCTACTCTTACCTTTATTAAGCTTCGGCTTAGCGTAGTCGCCGTTTCCTGTTCTCGTCCTTGAGACGCTCAATTTTCTTTCTACATGTTCCAACTAGCCCAATTATTCATTTTGATTGGTTAAGATATAAAAACGCTGCACACAATGTAAGCACCTAGCTGAAACGTCACGGCCACTTCCCGGAGCAGAGCGTTAGTTGAGGTCTAAATATACATTGAACTTCATCGTTTGCCAAGGTGTCCCCCCCCCCCCCCCCCCCCCTGGATCCCAGCAATTGGCTTTCACATGCGCTGTGCGGGAAATTGGAACGACTAAAGTTTTAAAGTGTTTGGTAATAAAGTAAGTCGGCTGTGTGATAGGCACAGAGAGATAAAGAAATGAAGGGCGTGGCTACGTTACGTGCTCGGTGATTACGTCTTCTGCGTTCTTATCTCATGATGCTCCCATTCTATTGGCTACGGGGCTATAAGAAGATGATTTGCTTTCTACGCCATGATTTTCCTAAGTTATTATTCACGATTGTTATATTAAAAAAAGTATAGGTTTATAATTACATATTCATAAGGATGTTGGGGGTACAGCTATCTTTTATGTCGACATGCTCTTTGCCACATTCACGTCCTGTTTGCTGTATATGTTTCAGTTCCTTTCAGTAGTCGCACATACACCCGAAAATATCTGAAATGTCTAATGTGTGTGTGATATCTATAGACGATAGATGGGACTCTCGTTTAAACCTTTCATGTACTTTTATTTTCAAGGTCATCCCGGATTGCCTGGCTTCTGGCCTAGTCCTCCGCGACCCGATTTCCCGAAGGAAATTCATGACGACCATATATCTAGCCTAGTGCGGCCTAAACTCCCAGAGATTCACGACGACTAGAGGCCTGGTCCCGACTTTCCAGGTACGATTTTTCGGCCAAACTAGGTGAGATATTACTTGTCAGATAATATTATTACAAGTTTAAGAGTCATTGCAAGAAAAAAAAAGAATCAATGGATATAATCAATTTGTTATACGTTGTAAATAACCGCAATAGGGAATACATTGCACGAGTTTACTTTTATAAATATTAGCAAGATCGCTTGTAAGAAAAAAAAGTGAAAAGTGAAAAAGTGATTTAAATTAGGTTCCTTTGAACTTGATTTTGCTGTGTCTAGATCCTTTAGTGATATGTTCCATCATCATGTTTCAGGAACGAGTTTATTTTCTGAAATTTTTATTAGGCTGTTACTGCTATAACATTTGGACTTGGCTGGCTGTTTCTATAAATAAATAACAAATGAAACTTATGAAATTATGTTTTAGTTATTTTCATTTATTGCATTTTAGGAAGAAGCCGGAGTATATTATCCCAAAATATTATAAATGTAGCAACTCACTAACGTTTAAAAATTGGACCACATTTGTTGTTTAGACAACGCTCCCATGTTATGTAAAAGCCAGTTTGATTCGCTAAATATAAAAAAAAATGATGTCACGGATATACCGCTTTTGGGAAGATAAGCATTAGTAAGACCAATACACCAGAGCATTATTACAAATGGAGAAAAAAATGTATTACATGAAAGCCGCCCATGGTTCTCACGATTCGAGCTTGCATTATATTGCATATTTGGCAAATATAGTCTAGTTACCAACATAATTTTCCTCCGAAAATATATGAAAGCACATTGTGTACACTAATTTGTATTTATGCCGATTAAACGAACTATTCCAACAGCTAATTACTGCATAAAACAATATTTCAGAAATATTTACCGGTATGGGTGTTATGAACGTTGGCACGTGACGTTTTTTCAGGGCAACCTCAACCGACGGATGTGCCTCTATTTCGAAGAAAAAAGAAGATGCTGAGTGAAATTAGCACATTCTATAAAATCAAGAGTGAAATAAAAAACAATATAAACAAATTTATTGTTTTCTGCTTACAGTCTATTTTTTGTCGGGTGAACAGACTTCAGCACGACGTACGCATGCCACGAGATAAAAAGATCGGAGCAGAAAAAGCAACTATTTCGCAATCAATACTCATAGAGATATGCCATTGCACCCATTGTTTATCCGCGCAGAGCAGACATGTGCAATGCGACAAACTTTGGACTCGTTACGTACTTTGACGACACGTGTCGATTTTCTCGCGCACGGGGTAAAGGACACAACGTGTCTCAGATATCTCATGCATTACGTTCTGCGCACTCATCAGTTAGGTATCACGGAAGGATCAAGTGTTGGCCAGGTTCAGGTTGCAGAAAGCCCACTATCATTAAAGCCTTATATGCCATACCATGTGAAAGAAAAGGACCGCTCTGCAAGTTTTACTCTTTGTAATTGTGATTACGCAGAGCTACAATTTTAACAATACCGCCAAGATGTACATCGATGGGAAAAAGGAGGATCTTTCACGTTTTATTGAGACCAGTATTGGCGGTAACGCGCTATAAATACCGGCGTTGCCGGTAACACATTACTTTTTCGGTAAAGTAGCAACGCATTCGTTACATTTTCAAAGCAGTACAAAATAACGTACTCACGTTGCTTATTTCGAGCAACAAGTGACGTAGTTACATTAATATTCATATTTTTTTTCAAAACATAAAGAACTTTGTTTTTTTTTGTTTTTTTTTATGTTTCTAAGCGACAAGTCATATCAGTCATTGTACTGATCCCATATTCCTTAAAATCAAAGCCACAAGAAAGACAACGTAATTATGTTATGTTCCTCATAGCAGTCATCATAAGATTACTATGTCCTAGCAATAACACGGTTTAACTTGGAAACGAAACGTGAGGCAGAAGTAACATGCATTAATTTTTATATGTAATGGTAACCTGTTCCTTTCATGTGCCAATAACGAGTGACGTACTCCGTTACTTCTATTTCGGAAACTCCCTCCAACACTGATTGAGACTTTAATATGGCATGTACAAGCAAAAAGCCGTAAAACGTTGACCAGTCTAATTTTTTTCTATTTTTTATTTCCAAAGGGCGGCCATGTTATATCATGCACAAGACAATATAGTCGCAGCTTAGAAACGCAAACTATGGCGAGTATCCGGTATTGTAGCCATTCAGAGCGCGGCTTTAATAATAACATCAAAGAAGTAATCACAAAGAAAACGGGACCATAATAGTCCAGGCACCCTGCGGTTCCTAAGCTCTCATCAGATGAATTGAAAAGGAGCGATCTTCTACAGAACATCTTTTATACAGCTGATAAAAACTGGCAATCTACAGGTCATGAGCAGTAAAAGGTTTTTAAGATATTGCCATTGATTTGAGAAGTAATGCAAAAAACTATGAAACAAGTCAGATCACTCGACGTAATGTCAAACACGGACTGCAACAAAAGCACCGTGCGTGACCTTGCCCGGCATATTTCGAAAGTTATATGCACGCAAAAAATCATTACGTTTTGCCTACTAGGCTTTAACGTTTTTCCATTCAGGGGAGGAATTGAAGGACAGGGCATATAAGTGCAAGTTTGGAATATCCTGTTTCTCAGGACCATCTAACTTTTCAATGTAGTTCTCACCGGCGCCGATGGACTTCCGTCACCGGTGCACCACACTCGGCATGCCCTAGTAGATGATTAGAGCCCTGCGTATCCGCGGACTTCCCGCAGGTCATCCGCGGATCATCTGCGGATATCCGCAGTATATTGGCGGATGCGGATAAAAATGAATCAGATTTCGCGGATTCCGGATCGGATGTGGATATCCGCGGGTCCGGATAAGCATTTTTGCCGGGGCGGTCCCTAAATGCGTGCGACCGCAGAGTGTCAAGTGAATAAGTGAGCGATACTATAAAGTGCATCATCGAATGTATTGCGGGAGCAAAACACTCTCTTAGATAAAGGGTGCCAATCGGGGAGAAAATTGTTCTTCACCTTAAAAAAATATTCGATTCTCAGTGAAGGTCGTTTTAGAACGTTCTTTCGCGTTAAACATGCTGTCTGTAGAAAAGGTAAAGAATTCAGGAGCATCGCTCGTCTTGGAAGAGCGAGTTCTTGTTTGGCAGGGAAAAAAGCAGAAAATGTTCTATTGGCAAAGAAAACCCAAAACATACAAGCCACAAGAAAGTAGAAGCTAAGTGGCTTTTTAGCCTACAAGTAGATCTAGGAGATTGAATTTGAATCGCTGGTGGGGTTGAACTTGAGCTAGCACGATTTTCTGCACTTCATTATTGTAGCACAGCTCGTGCATGCCGCCCCAGTATCAAGTGCACCAACAGAGAGAGACCTCTCATTAGCGGGGCATTAATTAAAGAGTAGCGAACCACTCGGAATCCGTCCATGTTGACGATTTTCTGTTTCTTTTGCACAGCAACCTCAAGAAGTGAAACGTTGTGTGGGTTTGCGTTTACTTTGCACCGACAGCTGGTACTGAGTTGTTTCTAAGTGTATGGTTCCGAGCATGCAGCTGAGGGCTCGTGTTTCAAACTGAAACCGTCAAGAGGTGTTGCCATAATTGAATATTGTAATATTTTCTCAATGGTATACCCGCGCCTTACCACATATACAAGAGCACCTTGCCGCGGTGAGTGAGCCCCTGTTCTATACCATTTCGTTATTGTGTTGCCGAAATAAAATGACACAATGTTATTACTCTGTCCTTTTTTGTTTTTGTGTTTATAATATAGGTGTGTGCTTAAAATGAATCTTAAAATGTAAAAAAGAAAATTCCTTCCTTTTGAGTGCATCTTCTGGACAGTGTCCGTGTCACGGACTCCCAAGACTATCTCATAACTGGGATCATCTTTGCAGCGATGCGAAGTACCTCTGAAAGGACGATCGCTTATATTATGAATACTATAAAACAGGGTACGATAAAATGACCTTCACCGTATTCCGACACGAAGAGTTTTTTATACAAAGGTAAGCAGACGGCTTATACCATCAAGGATACCATGAAAATGTTTTCTTTTTCTTTTAAGTGTATTAATGCTTGATTTTGTGATGTAAAATGAATGCGCGGATCGACGGTCGGATGCGGGTCCGAATTTTGCGATTGCGGTTCGGATAGGGATACAAAGTCTAGCGGATGTGGTTTAGATGAGGATGATCAAACTGTCATCCGCCTAGGCCTCTGTAGACGATTGAGGGCGGCTGTTGACGAGACCAACACCGCGCTGGAGCAGCTGCAGTTTCAAGATGTTTTGCCTCACTCACCTTACAGCCCGAACCTTACGCTGTCAGACTTTTGGCTATTTTTCAAGATAAAAAAAAGAAACAAACAAAAAAAACTGAAATGTACACGGTTTGCGACCGACGCAGAGATTACCGATGCAGTGCGCCGTCGGTGTCATCAACAACCGCACTCAATCATCTACGCTGATATGCGGAGAGTCGTACCCGGTAGAGAAAGTACATCAACGCCCGTGGGGTCGTTATCGAAAAGTTATGTGCTCCCGAGAAAAAAAAAAGATTCCAACCTTCAATTCGAATGTAACATCTTTAAATTACGTCCCTTAGAAAAAAAAAAGTTCCAGCTTGACAGTTAAAACTTATTCATCACCCTTCGCATACAAACATATGCTAGAAAACCTTGAACGTAAAGGAATGCCGTAAATTGTGCGGTATACACAATACAGCCGATAATTGTACGCAACGTCATTCGAGATTCGTGAAATCATCTGTAATTTCTGACACAAGTATGCTAATAGAGAAGATTATTATTGATGCATACGATCAAAGTGTTTTAACAAGTGACTACAGTCATTAGGATTTTTTAGCGAATCCTTTTGATGTGAACAGTTTGTTCCTGAAACAATTCGCCAAAACTAGCGCACAGTGCGCGCAAAATATGAGAAACTTTGAGAAAATACAGCTTTAGCCAGTCGCTTCGAGTTGACCGATTCGTGTCTGAAGGATATTGGGATG